TATTGATAGAATTAGGAATTCTTTAGCTTGGATTACTAGTAGTAATAGAAGAAATGCTGAATTTCAAGATACTTGTATAAAATCAAATGTGTCTCCTAAACATTTTGCATTAGACACGCCTATTAGATGGAATAGTACTTATTTAATGATTGATTCATGTTACGTTATGCAAATTTAATTAGTTATTTTGTAGCAAATAATAGGGGTCCTCATTATTTGGTAGATAGTGATTGGCATATAGCTCAAAAATTTCATTCTTTTCTTAAAAATTTTTATCAATTCACTTTACAACTTTATGGTGTGTATTATCCTACTAGTCCATTGGTAATGCATACAATTATAAAAATTTCAGATTTATTTAAAAAAAATAGAAACAATGAAATTTTAGCGGGACCAATAAAGGCAATGAAATTAAAATTAAAAAATATTGGAAATTCATTCATTTTCTTTTTTGTTTAGCTGCCCTATTTGATCCTAGAATTAAATTAACGGGTTTAGAAAATGGTTTAGACATGTTAAGTGAAAATTTACGAGATGAAGCATATGCCAATCAACTAGGAGAGATAAGATAGTGTCTTGCAAAGGTATATTTGCAATATGAAAGCAGGTATGGGAACTAGCGAGGAGGCGAAATACCCAAGAAAGTAGCTTCAAAAAACACAAATGAAGACTTCGACTCTTGGAGTGCACTTAATAGGCCGAAACGGATCCGAACCCGAAGCATAGCCTCCTCTTTAGAAGCATCAACAACTAATATATTGTCATTCATGCAACTACAGAGTAATGAGCTTCACCAAGATTTGGGAACCCCCAACGTGCTACCAGCAGAAAGTGCCAACTTTGATGTCTTAGAATATTGGAAAACTAGAAAATATATTTTTCGGATATTATCAAGACTTGCCCTGGATGTTTTCTCTGTTCCTATCTCAATTGTTTCATCCGAACAAACATTTAGTGCAAGTGGAAGAATTTTAAATGACAGGAGGACTAAACTTTCAATAAAATTGATTGAAGTCCTCACATGTCTTTGAGATTAGGAACAGTTATGCCATTAGGATCAATATGAGGTTGTCGACAATACTTTAATAGAATCATTTCAATTTTGTAATTTTGTAAATTGTAACTTTGTAATTTGTAAATTAACTGTCAATTATTGCTCTTTGTTTCCTTACTAAGTTTTTGTCCCAATTGGGTTTTTCTTGGTAATGTTTTTAACAAGGCAATAATTGTTATAATTTCTTATTTTATTTTTCGATAAATGACTAAATCCAATTTTTATTATATTACAATTTAATTGTATTAAAATTGAATTAATATTTGAAATGTTAACAAAAAAAAAAAATTAATTTAATTGAATTGATATTTGAAAAGTTAGCTAAAAAATTACAAAAAATAAATGCACAAAAACCCACCGGGTTAGGGTTGGTGGGCTGAGTTGGACCAACCCTTTTGGCCAAAGAGGCGAGCCAAATTAGGCCTAACCGACAATTTGGTCTAACCCACCACGGGCCGTTAATTTTCAACCTCTAACGAAGATAAGCAAGATTAGGGATTTTCAGATATTTCCACATCAGCAGGAGGTTGTGACATCCACCATAAAATGATATGTCGTTTACATGTCATCCAAGATGCAAACGACATGTCATCAGAAAACGAATCTAAGAATATTCTTTATGATAAATATCACTTAAGTCGTTAAGGTTGACTAAAATAGGGGGTTATCAAATATAATTCAAATACAAGGAGATTATATTGATATTAAGCAAATGAACGACACTTCAAAGAAATGACAAGAGTTTATTGGCAGAAAAAAAAAAAAAATCAATTTACATAGTCCTGTATAACTCAAACGACAGCTAGATCAACACGTTATTGTTTTAAGAGAAACTCTCATCCAAGTTCACTACCAATCTAGTCCGTTCAAGAAAACTAAATATCATCCTTATAATTAAAAGATAATGGACATGTCAGCTATTTATTGTGAGCAACTGGTCCCCGTTAATATAAAAGTAAACAACTTGTCGGCCTATTTAGTAGGGTGAGCATGGGAAGTGGTAGGTTGGTTCTATTTTATTGGAACTGATATTGTGTAGTTCCGTTCAGTTCTTATGTGTGGAGGAACCGAAACCAAAACCTGGAAAAAGAAACTAAAAGGGGTACCCGGTTTAGAACCTGCTTGGAACCTGTAGCGGGTACCCGATTTGAAACATGTATGGAACCTGTTTTTGAACCTATTTTGGAACCTCCTTTAGAAACTGTTTGGAACCGGGGCTCCAATGAAATATTGTGAATAATTGGGGATTTCATTATTTTACATATAAAAATTTAAATAGAAAAAGTTAATTAATATACAATGATACTTATTACATATAAACTACATCATATAAAAACTTTAATATATTAATATTAAAGTTTTGATTAATTAAGTGTATAATTGGAATTAGGATCCAATAAAAGTGTTTTAATGTATTTAAAGAATCATTTTAATAAAATAGTATATTTGATTGAATAGTAATATATTTAGTTATTTACTTCAATATTAAGTTTTAAGTATATTTATAGTAATAGCAATTAATTAATATATTGATAAATTGAAACATTAATAAATTTAATACAGTAAAATTATACTTAATCAAGTATAACATTACATAATTACATGATTATTTAATTGATTATGACATTATATTATAAACATTAATTATAATATTACATTATAAACAAATGATTACTTAATTAAATGATTAGAAATTTAATTAATTAAACATTATATTATAGTTAAATAATTACTTAATTAAATTATAACATTATTACATTACATTATATTATGATTATTTAATTAGTTATAGCATTACATAGTTAAATGATTACTTAATTAGTTATAAACTTATAACATTACATTATAAACATTAGTAATTTACTACATTATTACATTACTTTAATTAATTATAACATTACATTATAGAGTTATAGTATGATTACTTAATCAATTATAATATTCCATTATAGATTTATAGTATGACTGCTTAATCAATTATAACATTCCATTATAAACATTAGTATATTGATTAAATGATTAAAAATTTAATTAATTACAATATTAAATTATAGATTTATAGTATAATTACTTAATTTATTATAACATTACATTATGGTATGATCACATAATTAATTATAACATTATATAATTAAATGATTACTTAATTGATCATGACATTATATTATAAACATTAGTAATTTACTACATAAACATTATCACAATACTTAATTAAATTATTAGAAATTTAATTAATTATAACATATTAACATTACATTATAAATTTATTGTATGATTACTTAATTAATTGTAACATTACATTATAAACAAATGATTACTTAATCAAATTATTACGTAATTAATTATAACATTATTACATTACGTTATATTATATTATGATCACTTAATTAATTATAGCATTACATAGTTAAATGATTACTTAATTAGTTATAAATTTATAACATTACATTATAAACATTATTAATTTACTACATTAGTCATTAGTACATTACTTAATTAAATGGTTAAAAAATCTAATTAATTTTAACATTACATTATAAATTTATAGTATGATTACTTAATTAATTATAATATTACATTATAAATATTAGTACAATATTTAATTAAATAATTAGAAATTTAATTAATTATAACATTATATTATACATGTATAGTATGATTACTTAATTAATTATAATATTACATTATAATTAAATAATTACTTAATTAATTACAATATTATTATATTACATTATAAACATTAACAATTTATAACATTAAATTAACAATTTACAGATGAATAATTGTTTGTGTCTTTGTTTTGATTGAGAAATTTTATGTGAATTGTGATGAATAATTGTTTGTGTTTTGGTTTTGATTGATGAATTTTATGTGAATTGTGATGAATTGATTGAATTCAAGTGTTGCCTAGAGATTAGATGATTTATGAGTTACATTGGACACAAATGAATGAGTAATCAAAATTTGTTAGGGGTGTATTTGTAAACTTTTAAGGTATTTTTATCATTTTTTAAACTAATAAGGGGTAATTGATTTTTTATAGGGTACCCGGAAAAGGAACCGGAACCTGCATTTTAGGTTTCGGTTCCTTAAATTTTAGAACCTACACTGTGCAGTTCCGGTTCCTCTTTTTGGGAACCTGCACTGTGCGGTTCTGGTTCTGGTTCTGGTTCTGGTTTCCCCGAAAAATGCAGGGTATCCAGAACCGCTCACTTATTTAGAGAAGACATATCATACCTCTTATGGCTAATATCGATACACCCCCTGTGGTTCAGTAAATATAAAAAATGAGATATCTTAGTGGACTTAAGTGATATTTACACTAATCAGGGATGACGTGTCATTTACCTTAACAACGTCGTTCGGCTTCGGTTCCCAAAAATTTATTATGCTATTTGTTTGAAAATATTCTCAAATAAAAAAAAGAATTTCTATTTTTGCTGCAGTCAACTCGCTTTTTTTGGTTTGCCCAAATCCTAATATTTTTTTTTCTCATTTTCATCATCTTATAAATAACCAAATAAATAAATAGAAGAATTTAGAATGTTTATAATATATGGTTGTTAGAATAACACATATAAGCAAATTTATTTTATTTAAAAATTAAAAATTAATCTTTAAGATTATTTCCTAAAATAATTTAATTGGCCAATTTAGATCTATATATTTCTCTAAATTTTTTTCTCACATTCTTTATTTTTCAAATCTACATCAATAAATTCAAACAACCTCTAAATTCCTTGAGAGAAAAGGAATAAATAGAAAAATTAAAAAAATCCCTTGAAAGTTGAATATAATAATAAAAGAAACACAATTGCATAAAAACGACAAAAAAACACAGATAACAATATCTCGTATAGTATTATATAGTATTATACCATATAATACTATACTATACAATGTGGTGTACAAAACATACACATTTTATTATAGTACTATACTACGATCATGGACATAATAAAATTTTACCTATAAATTCGTCAATGGCTTTATCAGAACTTCCACCTTCATCAACAGCCTCTCTGGCTAAATTCTTCCAGATTTTCGCGTTCTTCTTCATCTCTTTCCCCTTCTCTTCCTCCATCACTTCTTTAATACAAGTCTCCACCACCTCTCTTCTCACGATCCCTCTCTCATCGATCCAAGCTCTGATCCCTGTCCTCCAAACATCTTTCACAAACTTCGCATTCGTGGGTTGGTCAGTCCATTGCGGCATCGCCACCATCGGAATCCCCAGGCTCAAAGCTTCAAGAACCGAATTCAACCCACAATGCGTAACGAAACAGCCGATCGATTCATGCGTTAAAACCTCCAATTGCGGGCACCAGCTCACCACTAATCCTTTCTCTGATGTTTCCTCTTTGAACTTTTTTGGTAGCTTTCTGTCTTCTGTCTTTCTCACCACCCACAGGAAGAAGCAATTGCTTGATTTTAATCCCCATGCGAGCTCTTCAACTTGTTGCTCTTCGACTTCCGCCATGCTCCCGAATGAAACGTAAACGACTGAATTTTTAGGTTTGTCGTTTAACCAGGTCATGCAAGCGTCAGTTTTTGGCTTGAATAGAGTGATTTCATAGTCTTTATCATCTTCAAGTCTTTTGTCTAAGTAAACTGATGGAAGAGTTGGCCCTATCGTCCCCAGTTTCCACTGCTTAGCCAGCCAGTCCACCACCTATCAAAGATCCACAAAATCGATAGAAACACATCCTAAATATTGTAAAAAATCAATATATTATAGAGAATTATTATATAAATATCTACTTACCGTTTCCTCTAATTTATAGAAAGTGTTAAAAAGCACCCAATCTGCTTCGTCAATATTCGAGAATTGATTCACAACTGTATGATAGTAACCCGGGTACGATCCAAAATCATTTATAAACGACGGCGTCTCAGAAGCTTGAAGCACTGGCATTCCAGGAATGGAGACAGTAGTCTCCGTGAGTGGCAAAGGAAGGAGCCCTTTATAAACATGATAATAAATATTGTTCACTGCACAACTTTGAGTAAAAAACACGACGCCAAGGAGCCCAAACTCCTTAGCAACATCGAGTGCCCAAGGCATGAACCCATCATAAACAACAGCAGTAACAGGCTGACCATTTTCATCAAGCTTTTTAATCAACTTTGACAATGTTTCTGAGCCAACTCGCTTGAGAGATTCTACATAAGCATCGAGGCTCTCGGCTTGGCTGTAGCCGCCTTCGTCGAAGCCATCGGAGAATGTTTCAATGGCGATTGAGTTAGCTGGGTTTATCTGCATGGGCTTGAAGGTGGAGACGGTGGTGGCTAAGGTTGATTTTATTCCTTTGGGAAGTAAGCGTTTGGCGAATTGAAGCATAGGGTTTATGTGGCCTTGAGCTGGATAAGGAACTATTAGAACATGAGGTTTGTGAGGTTTCTCCTCCATTTTTAGTACAGAGAGAAGCCAATTTGCAGAGAAAGATGAAGACAAATGCAAGAGATCGAGAAGTTTGAAATGAACTCTCTTCTTCATCGTAGAGCTCGTATTTATTTATAGTTTATAACTTCTGTCCAGTAAAATGTTAAGCTTTATTCAATTTTTGGATAAATTTAGACCTATTCAGAATTTCAGATTTCAGAGAAAAATAAATAAATACCACCATAGTCAATGACGGCAAAAGATAATTCTAAAGAAGCCGAACGACTTCCACCTACCCAAAGTTTGGTATAAAGATAGATTGATACCCAAAAGGTTTGGAAATGACAAATAAATATTTTCTGTCATATTTTGTTAAGGATTTATATATGCTAAAAGATAGTATAGTAATTTTATTCTCAACCCATGCCCGTTTGCACAGCCCTCTTGCATCATCGATCGATTTTTTTGATCGGATTTAGCATTTTCTGTGAAGTTTGATAATAAACAGTGGCATTGACCCTTTACTGGCTTGTGTTGGGAATAAAGATCGGTGGGTATTTCAGTCTTTTCACCATTTTTGTCTTTTAGTAGATGAAAATTCCTAACAAAACATGATAGAAAGTGGGTGTTTATCATTTTCAAACCTTTTGAGTACTACTTTGTCTTTATAACAAACTTTGGGTATGTATAAGTCGTTCCCCCTTCTAAAGAAACAGTTAGCCTCCCAGTCCCATGGGATTCAACTGCGTGAAGAGACAAAATTCAGACTTAAATATAATTAACATCCTTCTCTAGGTATATATATATTTTTTCATATATGTCTCCATCTTCAGTATATATTATATATTGATTATGAACTTGTTCTAAAATTTTATTAAATTATTGGAAGGATTAAATTTAATTGCTTTTTTGTTAACAATCTTATCCGAAGAGATGGTATCTAATCAATAGAGACAAGCTGGATTAAAATGATTTGAACTCTTCCACTTTCCAAAACCATATTCAAATTCAATTGAGAAAGAAAACAATTACATTTCTCAAAGAAGACAGCAAGCCACATATTTTATGAACAAAAAAAATAAGTGGTTTAAATTTGTAAGCAATATCACCAAATGAAGAAGATAATCCCAGCTTTCATTTTCGAGTGAAGAATATATTAAGAGCCAAGATGGAGATTTGAATAAAATAATAATAATAATTAGGAGATGTATGAATTAATTACAATAAATATATATTTTATAATTTGTGATCTTCACCCCTCCTTGAAGTCTTCATATATAATCTATTAAAGTGTACAATCCAATTTTCACATTATTTTGGCGAATTAAGGTTTGGTTTTTTTTTTTTTTTTTTTTATTCTAGTTTTGGTAAATTTCTTGCACTTACCATGGAATAGATTTGTGATTTGTGGTGTTATTCATATTACTCCAAAATGAAATATACAAGAGGTAATACTTTGTCAATTTACAATAATGTTTTTGTTTTGTATTAAAATTGATGTTACGTACGTAAATACAATAAGATATCGTACATGATATTATTAATATATAATTTATAACAACTTAATTGATTTATAGTATAATAATTATAGCATTACATTATTGATTACTATTAATTAATTGACTTATAACATTTAGTATATTACTTAATTAATAATTAGAAATTTAATTATAGCATTCATTTTAGATATTATAGTAATATTAATTACTTATAATTATAACATTTCATACAAAACATTAGCACAATACTAATTAAATGATGAAAAATTTAATTATTATATATTACATTAAAGATTTATAGTATGATTACGTAATTCACTATAACATTCACATTATAGTATGATCACATAATAATTAATATTAAATAAATAAATGATTACTAATTGATTATGACATATATATAACATATATATAATTTATTACATAAACATTAGCACAATATTTAATTAAATGTTATAAATTTAATATTATAACATTACATAAAATTTATAATACGATTGTAATTAATGTGTAACATTACATTTATAATGATTACTTAATAATTAAACATTCTATTATAAATAATAAATTATATATATATAAAGATTTATAGTATGATTATTATTCTATAGTATGATTACAAATTAATTATAACATTACATAATTACTGATTATTTAATTGAATGACATTATATATAAACATTACATTATAAAACAATGATTATTTAATTAAATGATTATGACATTAATTTTTAAGCATTACCTTATAGTAAATAATACTTATAAATTGTTACATTATTACATTACATATATATATGATCACTTAATTAATTATACCAACATAGTTAAAGATTGCTAATTAGTTATAAATTTAAACATACAATAAACATTAGTAATTTACTATATATACATTACTTAATTAAATGATTAAAAATTTAATTAATTATAATATTACATTAAAGATTTATAGCATAATTAATTATCACTATCATTATAATTTAGTATGATCCATAATTAATTAAACATTATATAATTAAATAATTACTTAATTGATTATAACATTATATTATAAACATTAGTAATTACTAATTATATATAAACATTGCACAATATTAATTAAATGATTTAAATTTATTAATTATAACAGTACATTATAAATTTATAATACCTTACTTAATTAATATACATTCATTATAATTAAATGATTACTTAATTAATTATAACATTCATTATAAATAAATAATTATATATTATATTAAAGATTTATAGTATGATTACTTAATTCATTATAGCATGATTACATAATTAATTATAACATTACATATTACGATTATTTAATGATTATGACATTATATTATAAAAATTAATTATAACATTACATATAAATAAATGATTAGAAATTAATATAAACCTTAATTATAGTTAAATATTACTTAATTAAATATAACATTATTACATTACATTATAGATGAGTATTTAATTAGTTATAGCATACTAGTTAAATGATTACTAATTAGTTATAAACTTAACATTACATTATAAACATTAGTTATTACTACATATACACTTACTTTAATAATTATAACATTACATTATAGAGTTATAGTATGATTACTATCAATTATAATATCACATATAGATTTATAGTATGAATGCTTAATCAATTATAACATCCATTTTACATTAGTTATTTGATTAAATGATTAAAATTTAATTATACAATATTAAATTATAGATTTTAGTATAATTACTTAATTTATTATAACAATACATATGGTATGATCACATAATTAATATAACATTATATAATTAAATGATTATTAAGACATGACATATATATAAAATAGTAATTTACTACATAAACATTAAACAATACTTAATAAATTATTAGAAATTTAATTAATTATACATATTAAATTACATTATAAATTATTGTAGATTATTAATTAATGTTAACTTACATTATAAACAAATGATTACTTAATCAAATTATTACTAATTAATTATAACATTATTACATTACGTTATATTTATAGATCACTTAATTAATATAGCATTACATAGTTAAATAGATTAAATAGTTAAATTTATAACATATTATAAAATTATTAATTACTACATAGTCATAGTACAACTTAATTAAATGGTTAAAAATCTAATTAATTAACATTACATTAAAATTTATAGTATGATTACTTAATTAATTATAACATTACATTATAAATTTAGTACAATATTTAATTAAATAATAGAAATTTAAATTAATTATTATTATACATGTATAATATGATTACTTAATTAAATAAATATACATTATAACTAAATAATACTTAATTAATACAATATTTTATATTACATTTAAACATTAACAATTTATAACATTAAATTAACAATTTACAGATGAATGTGTGTGGTGGGTTTGATTGAGAAATTTTATGTAAATTGTGAATTGATTGAATTCAAGTTTCCTAGAGTTAGTGATTATGAGTTACATTGGACACAAATGAATGAGTAATCAAAATTTTGTTAGGGGTGTATTTGTAAACTTTTAAGGTATTTTATCATTTTTAAACTAAAAGGGGTAATTGATTTTTTATAGGGTACCCGAAAGGACGGAAACTGCATTAGGTTTCGGTTCCTAAATTTAGAAAATACACTGTGCAGTTCCGGTTCCTCTTTTGGGAACCTGCATGTGCGGTTCTGGTTGGTTCGGTTCTGTTTCCCCGAAAAATGCAGGGTATCCAGAACCGCTCACTTATTTGAGAAGACAATCATACTCTTATGGCTAATATCGATAACCCCCTGTGGTTCAGTAATAATAAAAAATGAGATATCTTAGTGGACTTAGTGATATTTACACTAATCAGGGATGACGTGTCATCTAACAACGTCGTTCGTTCGGTTCCCAAAAATTTATTATGTATTTGTTGAAATATTCTCAAATAAAAAAAAAAATTTCTATTTTGCTGCAGTCAACTCGCTTTTTGGTTGCCCAAATCTAATATTTTTTTCTCATTTCATCATCTTAAATAACCAAATAAATAAATAGAAGAATTTAGAATGTTATAAATGGTGTTAGAATAAAACATATAAGCAAATTATTTTATTTAAAAATTAAAAATTATCTTTAAGATTATTTCCAAAATAATTTAATTGGCAATTAGTCTATATATTTCTCTAAATTTTTCTCACCATTTTATTTCAAAACTACATCCATAAATTCAAACAACCTACATTCCTTGAAAGAAAAGGAATAATAGAAAAATTAAAAAAATCCCTTGAAAGTTGATATAATAATAAAAGAAACACAATTGCATAAAGACGACAAAAAACCAGATAACAATCTCGTATAGATTATATAGTATTATACCATATAATATCTTACTATACAAGTGGTGTACAAAACATACACATTTATATAGTACGATACAAGATCATGGACATAATAAATTTTCCTATAAATCGTCTCGATGGCTTTATCAGAACTCCACCTTCATCAACAGCCTCTGGCTAAATTCTTCCAGATTTTCGCGTTCTCTTCATCTTTCC